CAGCCACTATTAACACCTCCTGAAGAAACTCTCTTCTGGAGATTTAAATCCTAATTATAGGATAAAAAAAAGTTTAAAATATAAAGTATCCTGTTCTTTAATAATCTCATTTAGTGAGGGAAATGATTGCAAAACTAAATGCTGAAGATCAATCAAAGTGGCAGACGCGTTCTTGTATTAGATCAGCACAACAACCTTGGTGAAAGAACCTTTCTTTAGAACTTGGGTGATTTGATCTCTGTCTTCAGAATCAGTGTGCCTAGCGACTCTTTTTTCAAATTACTGTGGAAATTTTAGAAGAATGTGTTTTGTTGCCTTGCAATTAATACAGTTTTTCTAAAGTTAAAAAGGACCTTGTGGAGAAACAGACCACAACATGTTTCCCAGCATGAATAAATTTACAGTAATTCACGCCAGGAGGGGCTGCTAGAAAAATACTGTGAGACATTCTGACCATGCTGCTAATGGTAACATGGCCATTAAACTTCCCAGCCCCACCTACCACGTTCGCTTGATCACTAAGGGTAGGAGGAACGTGAGACTCTTTCAAAATGGGATGATGACAGAAATTTCAGAGGGAATGACAAAATGTTAATATATGGAATAATTATAATTTATGTAAATTATAATTTAGCTAGAATAATATAAATCTTTAAGTTATCGTAACTGAAATATCTGCGCCACTATATAAAAATCTGGTCCAATGCGATCATTACTATAACATCCGTGGCTCATGCATTTATTAATTGGTGAATTCAGCAAACACTAATCAAAGCCTATTACGTTCAAGGGATATGTTGATACTGTGGAGGATGTATTTTTGTTTATAAAATGTAAAGAGTTTGTTCATATAATACTTACATGTTGAAATACTAAAAGGGGAAGTTTTTAAAGAAAACCCATCCATTAAATGAATGACGTCTCAGTAGCTCTTTCTTATTGAAATTAAGATGTTACCAGTTGCAAATTAAGGGAGTAACCATAGTTATTGCAAATTGTTGGCTGACGATGATGAAACAAATACACAAGACCATACAATACTCTGATGAGTGACCCCTACACTTAGCTAACAAGTTGCATCCAAAAAAAAAAAAAAAGAAGAAAAAAAAATTGAAGATGAGTTCCATGAATCTGTGATGTAATTAAACACAACAGATATATTTTAAGTCTGCAAAGGGCGAGACCTAAAAGAACAGCCAACCAACCACAAATCCATGCTCTAAACAAGACATCTAAGTTGAAGACAGTGACATATTATCTGATTTCTTTAGTATGGACTTTCAGAAACAATTTAAATCCAACTACCTCGTATAAATCTACTGCTCAATTTGTCTAACTTCTCTTTAAAGAGCCCAAACTGGGAAAACGTGATGAAGAAAAGTAATATAAGACTAAGCTCTAAACTGAAGCGTCCCCTTCTGACCTCTAATCTCTAGAAAATTTTTGGAAACTCCAGAACCATGTTGGAAAATGAGACAGCATACTGCTAGTGGATAAGACACCGTGAGAAACCCCTGAATAAGAGAAAGTGAGACAGTGTGACGAAAGAAAATGAGCCCAGCCCCAAAAGGGCACATAAGTATTCCCTACACAAAATAGGGATGCTCTAGGCTGACCCAAGAATGAAGGGGCAGATCGCAAGACAGAGTGCCTCAGTGGAGCCACAGGGCCACTGGTTCAGGACACACACAACACTGTGTCCCCAAACTGTCCCTACCCACTCATTGTGGACACAACATCCAACAAAAGCAACAAGTGCAGGAAACTTAATAGAAAAAATCAGTAGTGCTAGGTGCTGGTGACACCCTAGAGATATGATGAACTCCAACATGGGAAAAGGTGTTTCAGTTACAAAAACAAAAACAAAAACAAACACACACACACACACACACACACGCAGTCAGTAGAGATTGCAGAAATTAGAAACTGAGAAAAATTCAGTATCTGCAGAAACAGCTGAAGGCCAAAGGAGTGAGTCAAGCCATTTCCCAGTAACACAGCACAAAAAGACAAGCAGATGGAAAGAGCTACTGAGGCTGAGGGGTACGGTGGGTGGAGCTGTAAGTGTAAACAACCATCTACATAAATTAGAAAACTCTTCCAGAACTAGAACAAAAACCCTGAAAGAGTAGGCTGCGTGTCAAACAATAAATTTTTAAACACACACACACACACACACACACACACACACACACACGCACACCCCTAAGTACGTGTGGTAAAAATTTTAGAATAACTTGGAAAAAGAGAAACTCTTTAAAGCTTCTAGAAGGAAAAGAAAAGCATAGGTTCCCTGTCAAAGAGCAAGCATAAGGCTGGCCTCAACCTCTCTTCAGCGACACTGAATACAAGAACATAATATAATATCTGCAAAGGTCTAAAAGGAATTCTTTCGAGTCTAGGGTTTCATACTTGGCCAATTCCACTGAGAAGAACAAACACAATCTGATTTTCCACCAGGCGAGAACATGAAGATTTTATGCTTCTTAGCTTCTCTGAGAGAAATATTAGAGGATACACACCAGCAAAAAGAAAAACTACTCCAAATGGCAGTAGGATACAAAAGTTAATAATACATACAAAGAAACAGAAAATCTTCAAAACAGTCAAGTAACAACCTACAAATAAAATCCTAGTTGACAACAATCTGAGGGATGGGAAGAGAAAGAAAAAGGAAATAAAACTCTCCCTTCTTCTCTTGCTGGGAGCCATCTCTAGATACTTAAAAGAAAAATATGTTTTAATATGAGTGGTAAATATTTGAGTATCCTATATTTCCAAAAACACAGAAACATAATTAATAACCTCCAAACAAGTTAAGAAAAAAATAAAACACACTAAAAGTAGAAAAGGAAAAAAAACTATAGAAAAATAGACAAAGGTTATAAATAGGCAAACCACCAAAGAATAAACATAATGTTCTTTAAACACAGAAGATACCCAAAAGTCATCAGGAAAATGCGAACCAAAAAGCAATGACCTACCGTTTTTTGGAAAAACAAACAGATAAGAAGTTTGTTAATATCAAGGTATGCTTTGCTGGAGTGGCTATAAATTGGTACAACTATTTTTTAATGTACAAACCACGTAAGCCAAACTTCTGCTTCCTGCTCTGTACTGTAGGAAAACCTTTTCATCGGTACACAGGTACAAAGAGCACATGCAAAGACGCTCATTCTAACATTTCTGGAGTGACAGAAGATGGGAAATAAGCTAAATGCCATCAATGTGGAAATGTTAATGTAATTAGATTCTATCACGAATCCCATGCATTGATTAAATAGAATATTATAGATCCATAACCACTAACCTGAAATGATCACAAACAAGAAAAACACTAGCTTTATGTGTAATACAGGTTCTTTTTAACCACAAAATGTATCAACAATACTTGTGCAATCACAAATAAGTAAAAAACACTTGGAAAGAAAAAAAATCAATAGACAAACAACAAAACAGTCTGAGTACAAAATCTGTAGAGAAATAAGTCTATCCATTCGCCTTTTTTACAGTGTTGCTTTTTGAAAAGCATCACCAACACTGAAATCAGGTGTGAATGTTACCATGAACGTAATCATCCCAACCGAGCAATCAAGCCCATTCCCTCTGAGTCAGGACAGTGAATTCCCGAAGTCCCTCACACACACAATTCATTGATTAATTTGCAGCAAGCAGAAAATTACTAAAAACTGACAAATTCATCAGGAAAAATGAGGACCAGTTCCCTCCCACTCTCGCCCTCTCCAGTCGCAATGGTCTCACAACAACACATCAGGTGGGTTGCATCACTGAAAACTGTCAAGACAACACAGCCAAAAATTAAAATTTAAGAAAAGAAGAAGTGGTTTCGGGCAAAGGCAATGCAGATGTCTATTACGGGGCCGTTTGAGGAATCAAAGCAGGAGCTCCCTGCTCTCTCTTCCTTCCTCTCAGTGGTTGCCGAACCAATGTGGTCACAACAGCCATGGACTTGGGAAGCTGGCCAAGAAGCCAGGTGACTCAACGCTGAATTTCTTGTCCCTCTAGGCGATTTCTCTCAGCGGTGCAAATTTATACCAGAACAGAGCACAGTCGCCCTCTTATCAATCAGGAAAAGATATACATTAAAAGTTGGGTTTGTTTTTTTTTTTAAGTGTTGGCTAGCAAAGAAAGCTGAGGAAAGTTGGCAAGAGAACAAAGCCCGATTCCCCTGTTAGGAAGCCACAGGGCTCAAGGAGAGAGAAATCTGTGGGAAGAGTAACTGCTCTCTCTTAAGCCCCTTCAGGGTAAAAAGCAAATACTTATCTTTCCTTTCATGACATTCTCCTTAAAAATGAACAGCCGTCCTATCTTCCTTCAAGAAAAACTGATCTCAAACAATACGAAGAATTGAACGTTTGTCAGAGGGTGTCCTCTCCGATTCTGGAGGTGCAGAGGCTGAGGAGAAGTGGGGGCAAGACTGAGGCGGGGCTTGAAACCCAAACCTGAAAAAGCGTGTGTAAGGGCATATTCCTGGTGCCCCATCAGGAGACACAGCCATCTGGCAGCAAGACAAGTTGAAGGGACTGTGCTGGCTTGAACTGCATTTCCTGGGTACGGTGAGGACACTCTACCACCACAAGATCCTTCCCTCTCCATTTTCTGGGTGCCAGCCATGTAAACACGTGGCCAAGGAAATATCACACTCTTCGCACATAGTTTTTGGATGGACAGACAAATGGATTGATGGATGCCATGACCAGAGAAATGAAGAAAGAAACAGTGGAATGAACAGCATACTTGTCCGTGCGCGTCAAAGCCATCCATTCAGAATTAATATTCTACTTGCGAAAAATAGTCAAGCAAAGTTGCTCCCAGCTGATTTCCCCACACTGCACACAAATGTTGCTCAGCTCACCAGAGACCTCAATAGCATACTATATAAAATCTGGGTAGTGATAATCCTCCCAGACTCTCTACCACACCAAGGCAATTAGAACAATTAATAGCAAGTAGAATTCATCGATTCGAAAGTAAATTACCACAATTGGGTATCTGCAGGTTTGCCAGGGGAATATTCTTGCTGCTTTCATTTAGGCAGTACAAATCCTGAGTTTCTGGGCTGGATTTAGTCTCCTGAAGAGTCTTGATCCACATAATGTCACAGGAGCATGTAAATGGATTGCCCACCAAGATCCTACATGGGACAAAAATGACACCTGATCAGGCTTCTCTTTGTCAGTGTTCACGACGCTAGCAATCACAAAGCGCTGCGACATTATGCGTTCTTTCTGGCCAGCAATCTTCGGGAGTCATACCCACCTTTACAGTTTCACAATACTTATTCATTCCTTTATCTAATATTTACTGATCTTCTGCTAGGTGCAAACACCACCGTGGGCTCCAAAGGAGGCAAAGTGATGCAAGACCTTTCAGAATCATAGGGAAACAAGACAGGACTATAATAGAGGCTAAAAAAGGATGTCTCATAGAATGGGGGAAAATCAGATGCTGTAACCAATTTGCCATGGCCATTATATAGCAATTAAGATCTTTAGTGAAGATGCCAATTGTTAAGTTGTCAGGAACGCTAACATACTTATTCCTGACCAGGCTAGAGATTCCAGTGTGTTCATTTAATAAGCTCAAACCACAGTGGAGAGCAGAGCGATTTCATCTGACTTTACAATAACCCTATAAATACAAAGTTAAGTCTGAAACGTGAGGGCCAGTGAGGCGGCACTCCCAGCTTTCTGCATGGGGCGACCACCGTTCAGCGGGGTGGATGCAAGAAAGTCGGAGTAAATGTGAATGAGAGAGCCTGGAGGGGAACTCTGAGACCTCCTCCACACACACACACACACACACACACACACACACACACACACACTCACACACACCCCAAGTTCAGGGTTTCTGTGAGCAAGGGCAAGTGAGCTCCAGATGGAGCCACTCAGCCCACTGCGGGAGTGTCTGCGAAGAGCCAGCCACCCATCCGCCGAGCTGCCTGGGCTCCCGTGGCCTGCGACTGGTAACGGAGGAAGTAGTCAAGAGGAAAATAAAAACCACATGAAAAAAAAAAATCTTTAAATGCTTATTTATAATACTCAGTGGCCTATTTAAGATGAATTCCATTTATGGTAATGAGCCTTTAAATGAGGCCATTTACAATCGTTACATAGGCTCTGCCTGGCATTAACCACAATACTTAAGATTTCCTTGAGGACAGGACCTGGGCTTTGCAACATCATTTACTCCTGTGGTTTTTCTGGTTGGGTTCGAAGAATCTCAGGGATCCCTGGAGACTCTTCCAGGAGTCTCTTTGGGGAAAATGTGGTCATGGCAGCCTCGTTTAATGTGTGTGTGCTTGATCGCCTCTCAGTATCCCTCCAGCAGAAACAGAATCGAAGGCAGAAGAGATCCACAGGGCCTCAACTCCAACTAGTATAAGGGGTTTCCTGGCCTTCTAAGTACATGAAAAACTAAAGAATCTCCCAAAAACGAAGGCATGACCGAACCCACAGAAGGGATAAAGAAGCAAGGGGTCTTCGGTTGTGGTCATAGCTATGTCCGCAGGAGCACACCACGCTGGCAGAGAGCTGGCTCCTTTCTGAAGGTTATGGGCAAACCCGACTTCCAGTGACTACCACGGCACCTGACACTGGCTCGTTTATGCTCTTAGCTCTCCACTAGACCGCAGAGTCCTGAAACACAGACATTGTCCTCCATACGTCCCCACGGCCCGGTGCGTGAGTCTGATTCGCAACCAGGCCCACATTGAATGTGTGTTGAGTGACTTGATTAAATCTGCTGCTGGGAGAAAATGGAAGCCTTTGTATCTGGAGTCAGAACTCTGAATTCTGACCCATCAAGGTCACATTCCACAGCGATGCTCAAAAGGGTCACACAGGGCGCCTCTCATTCTGTTTCCTATTTCCTCAAATCTTACATGCCCACTGCTGGGTTAGAAAGCTACCACTTCAAGATCAGGGAATTCAGTGTAGTCTGAAATGACTGCCCATCGCCAACACCTGGCACCAGGCAACTCTCGTTACAACCTACTGACTCGTCTCTCCACGAAGGGCATCTTCTCATCTGCACATTTGCCTTGCGAGCAGGCGTGGACCCTCCAACCCAGGCAATATATACCATGAGAGCAAAAGCTACATCCTGGTATTCAAAGGCCTTGTCCGTCTGGGCCTCCACTGACACGCAGAGCTTCCGCTTTGGGGTTTTTTGGGCAACTTACTATAGGAATATCTACAGTTCCTATTTGCTTCGTGGGGCCAGAGCAAGAATTGAGCACACCCGGAAATGCTGGCTATCAGTCACTAACACATGGCAATCTTTTTTCCTATCATTTTGCAGCAAAGGACATTAGAGCATAAGGATAAATCCTGAGTGCAGGGGCAGACCCAGAAGAAAATCTCACAAAGACGGGCAGGGAGGGAGAAGGATGACCTCTTCTCCAACATCCATCAAGCACCAGCGGGCACCAGCGAGTTCTGCCCATGGGTATTTCCTCTTTGACTGGCTCTGCTTTCCATGAGGGCCTGGACATCACCAACGCTATGAGACATGTCACCTTTGTAACGCAAAGCACCCCCCATCTTTTTCCACTTTCCCTCCTTTAGAAAACAAATCTTTATGTAAAAACAACATTTAAACTCATCCTAAATGATACCTCACTGTTGAGATTTCTGAGTTTTGGTTACTGAATCAGGTTTATATGAGGGGATAAAAAAATAAGTGGAAAAAAAAACCAAGAAGTCATTTTTTAAGAGTTTTGATATAAAAATAGATCTGCACATCACTCATTAAAAAAAAAAATACTTAATGATTCTTTCCTCTGAAACTGTTTCCCCGAATGCCACACAAGGATCATTACTTACAGCTCAGACAAGTCAAGGTGACGAAAATGTTTCCTAGACAAGCTCGTCAGTTTGTTTCGAGTAAAATTGCTGAAAGAAACCAAAAACATTAAATGTGAATTAAAAAATGTGACATCTCAAGAAGCGTGTATGCAAATAGAGATTTTTTTTTTCTTCAAAATATAGTTTTATTGGATCATGGTTCATGCCTTCCTTCGACCATCATCTCTTTCTTCCATCTGGAGTAACAACTTAGTTTTTCGTGCCTCTACTAAAATTCTTGTTCGGAGGGTAGGGGGAGAGGTGAGCGTAATTTCCAAAAAGTCTATTTTTCTTCTCTTTCTTAACCAAAGGTTTATTTTTCTTATGTTGACTCAGAGCCAAGTTATATACCTCCTAGATCTCTGACCTCTGAACAATTAACAGAAAGAATTAATTTAATCTAATTTAAAATCATAAAACTCACTAGGGAAAAAGATGGTTTAAAACTAAACAGCATTGGGTGCCTGGGTGGCTCAGTGGGTTAAAGCCTCTGCCTTCGGCTCAGGTCATGATCTCAGGGTCCTGGGATCAAGCCCCGCATAGGGCTCTCTGTCAGTGGGAGCCTGCTTCCTCCTCTCTCTCCGCCTGCCTCTCTGCCTACTTGTCATCTCTGTTAAATAAATGAATAAAATCTTTAAAAAAAAAAAATCTGGACCAACCAGACGGTGAAAAGTCAAAGAAACCAAGTCATATTTGTGATTGAAAAAATACCAATGAATCTACTGACATGTTCTGAATACCTAGTTTTGTTCAATGGGCAGGAGTTTCCATTTCTGATGATCAGGGCTGTAAGGCCCTGAGTTGGAAAATTCAGAGCCATAATCCTGGCAGCTAACTTGTTCCGTGAATGTGTTTACTGGTTGAATTTATTCAAAAGTGTCCAATGCTTGGGCCTCCAGACACGTGTTTAATAACTAGCAGGAATGTAAAACAAACATCAACTTGGACAGAAACCGCCAAGCCCTCAACAAATGGCACTGAGCCTTTCGGGATCTGTTTCCTGTTCGGAAAGTGCTGGGCGGAGAGGAAAGAGCCAGAGGGTCCCTGCCCCTTCCCTGAGGCTAGTCTTCTGTGTCAGCCCAGCAAACTCATGGGTTGCTCAGACATCCCACTATGTCTGACCAGTCACCCTCAGGCAGGGGTTCGAACCCAGGAGCTAATGTAGAAGCAGAGGCTGGTCACGTGATGCATACAGAAACTGCTGCTCCAGGGTCCCCCAGTTCGAGACTGCGTGTGTCCTCACCCTGCCTCCTTCTATACGGAGAGTCCCACTCACCCAAACCCCTACCTACACAAGTGGTTCCTCTTCCTTTGATGCTTACTTCTGCTGTCTTTATACTGAGCATAAAGTGCTCACCCACATGAAAAAATAATCCACTGGGAAGTTGTAAAATGTGCCCACATACATCTTTTTTCTTTTGGAACGTGACTTAAGAATGAGTTTCAGGGGCGTCTGGGTGGCTCAGTGGGTTAAGCCTCTGCCTTCAGCTCAGGTCATGATCTCAGGGTCCTGGGATCAAGCCCCACATCGGGGTCCCTGCTCAGTGGGGAGCCTGCTTTCCCCTCTCTCTCTCTGCCTGACTCTCTGCCTGCTTGTGATCTCTGTCAAATAAATAAATAAAATATTAAAAAAAAAAAGAATGAGTTTCATTGGAGTATCACACATTGAAAAGTCATTCTGCCTGTGTTCTCCAGGTATCTTCAGAAACCGCCACCCTCTGAAGGTAACACAAACAAAACCAGGACTCTTCCTCCCAAGAAGAACCAGGAGAGAGCAGGCAAACAAAGAGGACCCTCCGGTCAAGGTCTCAATCAGCGACAAAGCCCCCCGTCGGCGCCAGCAGCAGCTGGCCCTCTTGGGCTGCCAGCCACATGGCCCGGAGTGGGGTCACATGCCAAAGAACAAGATGAGTTTTATGAACCATACTTATTATGGGGGACAAAAGCCAAAAAAGAGGAGGAGGGGAGGAGGAAAAATCAACAATCCTCTTACTGTTTGATGACAGAACTTTGCAAAGGAACTAATTAGCACCTCGGCAAAGCCCCTGGAAAATACAAACACTGGTTTTTCTCACAACCCCTGGGTTCTCAGACACCGGGGAGGAATTGAAGGCACCGAGAAATAAACTCAGTGACCAGTCACAGGGGCGGCGGACAGTCCCCACACGATGTGGAATATGCCCAGGGCAGAGGGAGGGGTGGTGAGACAGGATCCGATCCAAATCTCCCTAAAACCCGAAGTGAAATACTACTATTGCAAACACTGTTATATGGTTGGGGAGACTCAAAGATAATCAGGATACCCCCCCCCCCGCCCCGCCACCGAGGAAAGAGAAACAGTTTCTAATGCACATTTCTTCTTCCACACCCTGGTCTCCACAGTGTCGATACCCGAGAGGACTGCAGAAACTCAGCAAAAACAAGCCAGCGCCCGAGTCCCCAGTCCTTAGCGGAGGTCGGGACTCAGGTCTGCAAAAGCAAACACTTGATTTGCAGCCTCCTCCATCCCTGCCATTTTCAAAGCCAACTGCTTAATTTAATTTAATTCTGGTGATGAGGAGCCTCTGTCATCCATGAACACTGTATATGAAGTTTACTGGCATGACTGACTGCCTGAATATTGTCTAACTTCATTCTGTCTTAATACTTGATCATGCCTCTATGTCAATAGAGTTTTTGTTGCTTGACCAATGACCTGGCTTCCCGGCCACTGCCTTTTAAAGAAACCATCTAAGATATGTCCATCTCTTCGGTTTTCCACTCTCAAATGACACCTCTTTGGGAGACAGGGATAGCTGGTTGGTTTTATATAAGTGGTTACAGCACACAGAATGCCATTAAAATTATTCTTCCATGTATCACCCTGAAAAAATACACCAGCGGCTCTGGTGTTCCTATAAATGGCATGCAACAGGGAGGAAGGGGAAGCATGAAGAGGTAGAGTAAGCCCTCTTATGAATAAGTCCCTTATAAATAAATACATTTATTACTAAAACAACAATTAACCATAGCCCACTGTACACATCACATCGTTAGGGGAAGTGATGGGGTAAAACAGCCCATAAAATGGGGTCGGGAGAGTAATTCAGGTGGAATGTTAGCCGTAATGAAAATACCAGAACTTAACCACCGAGGTCATTAATTACATTTAAGTGATGGCTTTAGAGCATTTTGACTTTTTTTTTTTTCTCTCCGACTTCTGTCTTGATCGTGCCCTCAAGACCCACACAGACATCAGATCTGTGCAGGCAAAACAACCACAGAGATGAGGCCAGAAAAGCATTTAAATGAAATACATGAATCAAGCTCTGTGGGGTTTTACCACAATTTTGCTGAATGTTTTGTATCCTTATTCTACAAACGTCATTTTTAAAAACAGACTTCATCATTAGCGCCACCTAAATAAAATACAAAGTCATGAAACTAGCTTTAGGAAGTTCAGGTTTTTCATAAAATCAACAAATCTACATAAAGTGTCTAAGCGACTTGCTCCAAGACAGTGATTTCTTTTATGACTGGCACAGAAATCATCTGGGGAGCTGTTCTCCCCAAGAAAAGAAAGAGGATAAATATTATAAGAAGGGCTGGTTCTCTAATTACACAGACGGCATAGATTTTATTTCCTGTGTAAGAGCTCAGCCAGAGGTGGGCCCTCGAGTCATAACTCTGTCACTTTCCATGTGTGGACCCAAGCAAATCCCTGAACTTCCTCAGTCCAGTTTTACGTCCATGAAATGGGAACCAAAAAAGTCTTTCCTGCCGACTGTCAGAAAATTCAAGTGAGATAACGTGGGAGAGAGTCCTACAGGTAAACTGTAGAGGAGGAGACAGAAAAGCATCATTACGGAGAATCTGCAAAGCACCCAAAGGCGAACGACTGCAGGCAACATATCCGCACTGAACACTCGGGGCTCGGGGAACACCAGTCGGAGCTGAGGGCCAGGCGAGCCTCTGTTGAATGAAGAAACCTCTCAGGAAGGCCCTACCTTTTGGACGACGGGCCATCACCTGACAGGATGTAGCAGCAAACACCCCGAGAAATCCCACAGTCCATATTTCCAGCTGACTTCAATTGACAAAGCATCAGCGTGACTTGGGGGCCAACACTTGCTATCTTATAATCATCTGAACCTCGGGCGGGTCCCATGATTGATTTTTCTCCATTTTTATCAATCACGACAGATAGCGTTGAGAAAATGAACTTTGAAAAGTGAATCTACGGGGGCAGGGGGACAATTTGGTGATTTTTAGTTCCCTACAAAGGCCATAGCTAAGTCAGTTTCTTTTAATTCCACTAGTTTGATGTCTTCCAGGGAACATGTCATGATTCCAAGGAAAAGAATCAAGGACCGTGTACCAGGACATAGTTTTCACATCAGACTCTGCTGCTGGCCTGTTGCTCCATCCAAGATGGAAATGACCCAGAAATCCATGAAAGGGAATACACAGTCTGTTCTAAGTACCCCTCTGAAAGCTATTCAAAAACCAAAGCTAACACGTCTCAGCTATTGTCACATGTATGCTAACTTTAAAAAAAAAAAAAAAAAAAAAGGAGGTTGAGTCTTGGAAAAAAAGGAAGAGAGGGGAAAAATATTGAATAGTTTGGGACCCAGGAAGAAAAAGAATCAACCTTTACTTACATGTGCTGTAAGTTGCTGTTTTTCAGAAAGGCTTTATGAGCCACAAATTTTAATCCGGAATCCACGATTGTCCTGAGAAAAAACATAAAATTGCATGTACATTAGAATGAACTCGTAAATGCCCGTTTGACTATAACAGAGCCTAAGAGAAAGGTCTGAAATAAGGTACACTAGTCCTGAGTACTTACAGATTTTTCAGTCCTGCGTAAGCTTCAACATCATCTTCGTTGATGATTTCCAACCTTTTCTGATTGGCAATGTAGCTGCAAAAAGTGCAGAGAGTGAAAACCAGTGACTCAGAATCCAGACAGTACATGAAAAGAATGGGTAGCTTCCATCCTACTTCACCGGGGCAGCAAGCCCTCCCCACCCACCGGAGCCCCACCTGTTTCCTTAAAATACAGAAAAGGAGGGGGGTTGGAATGTGACTGGGAAGAAACCATGATTGAGCCGGTTTCAAGGTCAACGACAGGTTCACCAAGTTTCATTTTTTTCCTTGATCCTGTTATCACTTCGAACTAACAAATTCAGTCTGCCTCCCTTTTCAAGGGATCCCCTGTGTACAGAGGGGAAAATAACCTGGAAATGCATCCACTACCTCTCAAAAGGGTTCCTTCTTATGGTGATGGCCACTGGGATGCTGGCATCGTCACACGCAAGACAGAGCACATCTTTCTCCACATGCCATGATAACTGGTCACTCCTTCTTTCTACCTCTTAAAACACTGAAGCCAATTCTCTCCTTTCTCTCCCTCCTCCGCTCCCTCTTTTCCTGTCCCGGGATCCCCTTTTCCTGCTCCTGTCATGTCAGCACTCCTACCAATATCCCCTTTCAGGAACCACATTCACAAAGACAATGTGGTCCTAGAGTACTCTCTGTAGGAACCCTCCTCTTCCCCACCCACCAGACCCTCAAATACAGAAGGAAAATGGTGACTGATAGGACAGAGGATTCCATCCCCTTGACCATGACAACTGGCTTAGAGATGTTCATGTGGCCTCAACCAGACCAATGAATATTTTTCCTAAAATTGAATAGATGATGCTCGGACAGAGGAAGACTTTTTCCCTGGGATCCTACTTGAAAGGTTATACAGGCCCAGGGCCTCCATGAGAAATTTCCCTGCCACAATGAAAGAGACCATCTAACAATAGTCAGCACACAGAAGGAAAAAGAGCTGCGAGATATAATAAGAAAGAAGACCTGAAAAATGCCATTTGAGCCCTTGGATCTAGGTATCTCTGAGGTTAAATGTCACTAATGGAAGTTTGATCTGAATTTCTGTCACTTCCAACCAACAAAATCCCTAGTAATACAAACACAAAGCTATTAAACCTACCGCCGTGGAATTTCCTTGTGCTACAGTTATTCGAGTCCTGTCTATTCATTTATCCTAGGTCATAACCTCTTTGAAGACAGCTGAATCCTGTTCTATAATTCTTAATATCACCACAGCATCTAGCAAAGTACCTTGCACAAGGTAGGTATTCAAAAGGTAAAGGGTAGATAGATGAATGGATGGGTGGATGGGTGGGTGGATGGACAGATGGATGGATGGACGGACAGACACATCCATGGATGGGCAACAGCTGGAGTTCCAAAGGCACCATAAGAAGCTGTGTCAGGATGGGTTTTCGCCTTTCTTTTTCAAAAAAAAAAAAAAAAATTAAGATATGTAACATATTACCATGAAGACATTGAAAGCAAATATGCAGGCCTGCTCTTAACCACCATGAGTTAAATGAAAAACAGTAACTAGTGGGGGAGAAAATCCAGCATCCATGGGTCCCTTCTTCTACATAATCCAGAAAAGGAAAAATAGATGTTAAGATACATGGTAAGAGTTGGGGCACCCATTTTTAGAAAATAAATTTTAGAAATCAGGTAAAATAAGGAAATGCTCTGAGAGAGCAAAATCACACCAAAGAAAAATAATTTTCAAAGGATCCACATAAACATTGTTCTCTGTTTCATTGAAAAAAAAAAAAAAAAAAAAAAGCAACCTCCAAGATAGAAGGAGACATCTTCTGTTCAAAGATCTTGGTTCTCCCTGATATCCAGGGTCTGGCACTTAAATAGATGAATTGCAAGGATTCACTCCCTGCTCTCTTTCTGCTACACTGGAAGGAAACACTTTTAAGACTCCAACCTAGTGCTCAAACAATTTTCAACATCAAGATTTTTTATGAAATATTTCTAAATCATGACACTTCAGATTATTTAAATTATTCCACTATATTTTCAATACAGACCATAGTGACCTCCCTTTTCTCAATTATCTCCCAATAAGAACTTCATTCCAGAGACCCCCTAAATATTAATCCTTTTTTCATGTAATTGGCAGCAAAAGGGGCAGGTAGCAAGGGGCTGGTTTCCTTTGCAGTCACAGCCAGGACTTCCAGAGAAGCCTGTTCTTACCTTACAGCTGAGCTAGCATGGTACCTGTCACTGTTCTGAAAGAGTTTTTCAGATCTCTTGGTGAGACCACCACTGTGTCCTCCATGCTTATGGCAGGGGCCTGATACTCAACAGGTTCTTAGTCAACATCTGTGACACAAAGCATTTATCTTTAACTTTTCTTTTAGTTATTGATGGCCTTTGTTTTTTTAATTTCATTTTTCATCAGATTTTTAATTGATAAACTCCCCAGTTGTATTCATGAAAAACAATGAGCTAACATAAATTAAAATGGAGGACATAGAAGAATGAAAAGGGCAGAGATATCAACAGAGTGAGGAATTAGGTTCAAAATACATATGCTGCTAGTAAAGGGTCACAGGCTTAATTCTAAGCTTTCTAGTTACCAAAACCCTAGAAAAGAAGGAAAAGGAGATAAATTTCATCAGTGGTAAATTCACAGTATTCACGAGATGAAAATATGTCAGACGTTAAGCAAAGCCTAATGGTTCTTAGATCTAAGACCAGACAGGAGATTGTGTGGAAAACCATCAAAAGAACCATGTGAAATTATGAAAAATGGTCACCAGAGAATACTTTTCCACTGTGGAGGCAGGAATACTCTGGATAAATCATAAAGGTTTCTCCTAGTTAGAATGGAAAAACTAACAGAAGAGCTGGATTAAAAAGTGGGTAAGTGCCCTCCAGAAGCCAAGAATTGCCCTTCGTAAGTTACCATCTGCAGACATACCCACAACACAGCTGCCCGCTATAAACTGCTCATCGATTCTACCCCCACGGCCAAGAAACTTTCCTGAGCTACCTCGAAGTGAGGAATCACAGGGCTAGAATGGAAACCAGTACAGGTAATAACAAACAATCCACAGAAGGGAAACCTCAGTAGCCAAGAAACAGATGAAAAACTGCTCACCCCACAAAAAATCTGAAGAGCAAACTACAGGCTGACAATATAGGGGTGCCTGGGTGGCTCCGTCTGTTAAGCATCTGCCTTTGGCCCAGGTCATAATCCCAGGGTTCTGGGATCAAGTCCCACATCAGGCTCCCTGTTCAGTGGGGTGGGGTCAGCTTCTCCCTCTCCCTCTATCCCTGCTTGTGCTCTTTCTCACTCACTCTCTCTCAAACAAATAGAATATTTTAAAAATATTAAAAAAAAAGTCTGACCATATAAAGCATTTCCAAGGATGTGGGGATTTCTCCTACATTGTTGGAGGGAGTGTAATTTGGTACAATCACTTTGAAGAGCAGTTCGTCCTGGAAAATGATCCATCAGCACACTTTACAACACAGTAATCCCATCTCTGGGTATTTACCTGAGAAAAATTCTTACACACACACACACACACACACACACACACACACACACGTACAAGAATATTCACTGTAATACAGTCAGAATTCGAAGTCCGAAACCACCCAGGTGTCCATCAATTAAGAAAGAGAGGGGGTGTCTGGCTGGCTCAGTTGGAAGAGCATGGCAGCTCTTAATCTTGGGGACATGAGTTCAAGATTAGTTATATAAATAAAAAACCTAGGGGGAAAAAAAAAAGAAAGAAACAGGAAACAACCAGAGGGGAAGTGGGAGGGTGATGAGGGAAATAGCTAATGGGGATTCACCTGTTGTGATACATGGGTGATACATGGAAATGTTGAATCATATGTTGCACACGTGAAATTAATAGTACTCTGTATGTTAACTATACTAGAATTAAAGTTTTTTAAAAAATTTTAAAAAGAAACAGAAAAAAATAAGGTTTAAAGTTGAACCAGATCTTGTATTTGAGTAGGAAGAGATCATCACGCTGAGTGAGAAGGCTACATAAGCAAAATTGCACACTGATATGTACATATGATACATCATGATTTATGTGAACTTTAAAAAAATAGACAGAAAACAACACTGCATAATGCTCACAGTCAAGGATATTTGTAAAACATAAAAAGAAGACTGTAGGAAGCCCACCTGGGGAAAGGAGGATGGTTCTAACTATTTATTTTATTAAACTAGAAAACTATTTCTTATTAAAAGATAAAAGACTTGTAACAAAAAAAGACAAAACGCTAGCACGCCAGTTTGGAATGTAAGTACAAGAAGCTTTTTTTTTTTTTTTTTTGAAATTTTTAAACTTCGGAAGAAAAAAGAAAGAAGGGGAAAGGGAAGAAGGAAGAAAGGGAGGGAGAGAGGAATGGAAAAAGACAGACAAAGAAAGCCACACAAGTAAAGTGACTGCAGGGACGCTGGACTCCAGGGCTTTGGGGTTAGAAGGTGTTCACATACCCCCCAGGCTCAAGGTCATGATTCCTTAGACCACTGAAAAGACAGTCTTGAAAGCCTTCTGCTCCTGGCCCCAGAGCTGGGGGCAGGAACCAGGAGATTAAGGAGCATGTTGGACTGCCCCCTACTGGTGATTTCCACGTGCCTCCCGCAGGATATTGGCAACACCAGGCCTGGAGCCCTCAGCTGCAGGGTCCAAGCCAGGGTTAGGAGGGAGAGAGAAAGCGGAGGCCAGGATACACAGCTAGAAGACACGTATCCAGGCCAGGCTTTGACTCCAAAGTGTCTTGAAACTCCGAGGGCTCTTGACTGAGTCAAACTTGGCTTAATAAAGCCCAGGGTTTTATTAAAACCAAGAAGTGTTTTGTTCCCCTAGAAGCAGTGGGAAAGCCTGGCATTTGGGGCACAAACCTTCCTCAGGAGCTTTCGCTCCATGATGACCCCTAACTTCTCCGACAAAAACTTAGGCCCCAGGTGTTTTAAGGTACAAGACATCATCCCAGAGCCCATGTGCCAGCACCTGTCTGATAAGGAATCTCATGAATTAGCAGTTTTGGTTCTGCTAACCAAAA